ATAACATGTAATACTATTTTTTGATATTACCATACGTCATTTTAAAGTGTTTTAGTATATCAGTCTTACCTTGTGCTAAAGTACACTCTACCGCTCGGTTCGATCTTAACCCTCATGTTATCCCTGGTCACGTGATGGTAGTTGGAATTTTTGACGTTCACGAAATACGTGTCTGGTGTCCAGAAGATTTTYGTTGCATCGGCAGCCATGTTGAAAGGAATGCTGAAGTTATGTGCGAAACGTGGGTCATACCACCATTGGCGAAAAAACACGTCCAGAGAAAACTCCTWAGAAAGAAGAATGAGGTATAATACGAGAAAATGTACTCTGTGTACAAATGAACAGAATTTTTATATTCATTCTAAGTAGAAAGTACGGTTAAAGAGCGAGCTTGACTGGAAGCAGAACTAGTAGAGACACACGCTTGTGCATATTACACAGACCAGTTCCACAAAAATGAAGCGTGGCCAACCTACCATACTAGCTTCTTTGAGCTCTCCAAACGAAACAACTTTTGTCTCCACCAAGACCTCGACAGGCTCACCTGTGAGTACAAAATGGTGATGGTTATGTCCGACAATTTCGTGGTTTGTGCATGCATGTTTATTTTGTAGTGTTGTTTTATATGATTTGCTGCAGTGCTGTTCCTGTAGTGCTGAGTTGCTGTTTGCGTTAAATTTAAATGTCTTTCTTTAAGAAACTGCACAAGATGGTTTTCACCATGAAGCAAATAAGCTTACCTCCAGCATTTGGTCGGAGTTTCTTGTCGTACGTTTTTAAAACGTCGTTGACAAACTTAGATAATTCCTTAGCTTCTTCCCGACTGTTTTTCGATTCTCTGTTGATTAAAGAATTTCTTTAATTATTTTTTTAAGCTGTTAACTAACCAAGTTAGTATWAAGTTTATTATAGAGAGAAAATTCCGGAATCTCTGACGCTAATTAGATAGTGTTCCATGAGAGAAGGTATCTCTAAGGTATCTCTATGTGGTTAGACATAACTCTCGATCCTAATAGAGGAGAAAATGACAAAAGAGTCAGCCTACTAGTAGGGGCCGATTCTCCATTATKGTAAACAGTGGACCCTACTGTGACCTTACGCGTTACCCCCTTTTAATAATATTCAGCAGATTCTATTCAAATTGACTGCTTCCGGTCAACAACTGTTTTCACTGATTTTATCCTATAAAGAATTATATTCGCRCGACAGACTAGTCACCTATGGTTTGTCGCTCTGCATTTTGTATCAATATAAAAGCAGCAGAATCTTGTCAAACAAGAATATTTTTATTACTAAAAATGTTTTTAAGGAAAAAAACGCAAAGTGCCTTTAAGTTTGATTAATATGGTCTAATTAGGGAACCACAGATAGCGTATAACAGTTTATTAACACCTTGAGAACAAGAGCTGTTGTCGGCCTAATGCAGCATACCACACGATCACACTATATCGCCGATTTCAGAATACAACTATCGTATCTAATTGCTGGCAAAATACAGTATGATATAGAGATTATCAAGTCCCATATAAAGTTCAAACACTTTTCGCAAACGACAAATTTCAGATGAAATTCAATGGATAATAATGCCATCCCATCTATGAATTATGTAAAACTTACCTAAAACTTTTGATGAAGTTATAAGTTTTTAAACAGGAGGAACACAAAGRGAATTTTCTACTCATTCAACAACTTAAAAATATAGATATCTGTATGATTTGTGTACGAGAAGGCGTTTAAACTGGACAAACCTTTTTGGTGCAGTCTTGTTCGCAGAGCACCAGACCGCCGTGAATGCGAGAAAAACAGGAACGCAAACCAAGAGCTTGAAATACATTGTCTCAAACTACTAATACGCCCTGTAAATAAAAATCATATTTAGCACACACTTTGATACATTCTGTAGCTAGTTCTAATTCTTTACAAAGAAAAGGTTTTATTTCCCCCCTTAGTGGATTTTCATTTTTGTTAATTGAGCAAGCTCCTTGTGCGACATACCTTATCTGAAGTATTTTGGACATGGCTTTGTCAATGTTTTCCCACAGCATTCCCAAGCCTTAGAAGTCTGTTGATGTTAGTAGTTGTTGTCATAATTCATGACCATATTGATTATATTCACTTAATTGTTCAATTCTTTCAATAATGATTTCTGATTGGGCATGGCTATACAGCCAATCGCCATGCACCTCTCGCGATAAGTTTGTTCCCATCTGAGTCACATAAAAAGCTTGGTTTCCAATCGTGTTTGTTGAAAACTTAGACAGATCACACGACTATCGAGCACTTCATAATGCCTTCTAAAATGACACTGAAGGGGATTCATTAATAAAGTGCTTCAACGCCTTGTGGATATGATAAATTATTACACACAATCAGGATGGATATATGGCTATGGAAAGATGCCCCAGTCCTTRGGTATATTCCATTTCGATTGACAATTAATTGTTTTTCCCATGATTGATGTATATAGTAATTTTCGGTTGCGGTTTCCAGCAGCGCATTTCGCTAATGATGTGTTAAGTTATTAAAATGAAAAATCATTGTTTAGGAAAAAAAATATTGTTTATTGTTAGGATGATACGATGTTATACTGAGCGAGGTTGCTGCCTTATGTGMGATATATCATTTTCCATACAACATCCCAAATCTGATATTGGTTGATATCATGGGTCTTTTAGCAACTATTCTACAATTGGTCATGTGAKCTCGTATCAATGAATCCGCAAATATCATCGATATTGAAAACAATGGCTTTACCTTTTATGGTACTATAGTTGAGAAGTCAAAATAGCTTGGCCGAATTTATAGCAGTTATGTRAAAAGATAAATTTAACACCGTAAAAACGAAGGWGAAACGTCCGAAACGTCAGTACGTTATTTCACMTACTTTTTTACGGTGTTAAATTTATCTTTTTACATAACTGTTTMTTTAGAAACACCGACGCAKCTCACACTAGTTTACCGCTAGTTCCCAYCAAATTTATAGCATGCTAATSGATTGAATATYATATAAYTATATATATTATATCCACCGATTGAATATGAAAGTATGTCAGGTGGTTAAACTTCGTTAAGACCTGACKTTGTCTCGGTGTTGTCTTGGTGATTATGAGCCCCCATCATGATTTATGTCTCTGCATTGACCTCAGCTGGTTGGATACGTCTTCTGACCTGAAGTTCATACTCTTGTTCTACGAATTCATCAATAACCTGCTCAATCCCGCAAAAACATCGTAAAAAGTAACCTCTGTATTTCCTCGTACGCAGACCATAAATAAGAGGACTTATAAGCGAGTTCATGTGAACAAATAGGTCAGCCCAAGCTTGAAGAGCAAAGTACAAAGGGGTTCTCATCTCATGATTTTCATTCCACTGAACGTAAATATTGTCAATTATAATAGGAATGTATGCCACTAGAGAGGTCCCAAATAGATAGGCAATTGTAATGGCCATTCTACGTTCTGTAAGGTATTTGCGTCGTGCCGCCTCGCCATTCACACTTTTTTGAAGCCTGTTTAYATTTCGATTGTGTCTTTTGATTAAAATGAAAATTCTAATATTCCAGTATATGGTGGCAATTAAACATGAAATTATCATTGGAGCGAAGATAACAAACAGATAAAACTGAGTGGAGGGAATTAAGCGATAAAACAAACCAATAATAAAATGGCCTAGTGAGTTTACTGCCGTCAAGAAGAGCAATTTGGATGTACAGATACGTTGGTTGTAGTTGAATGGGTCGGTTATAGAAACATTTCGTTCATAAGTGAGAAAAGCTAGCTGATATAATGAAATAATCCAAAGCAATGTGCTTACGTGAATAAACGTAGTATCAAGGGCGCAGTTTACCTCTTTCTTCACTAAATGGTAGAGTTCTTTTGCCACGAGAAGTGGTTGACCGATCAAACCACTCAAAAGATCTGATATCGAGAGAAGTCCCAGAGCAATAAAGCGTTTTTCACGAAGAACTTGAAACTTARCGATGAGGAATAAAACTGCACCATTGAGGAAGATCACAAAAGGAATGACAATAGTCTGAACGACGACAACGACTATGCTTGAAATTGTTGTTGATTTGGTGCTGAAAGAACTATGCCAAGTCACAGGACTAATAGATGGACACTGTGGAGCAGCCGATAAATTATTAGCCATCTTAAYGAAACAATAATAAACTTGATCAAAAATCTTTTTTCAGCTCGGAAAGACATGTAAAAATACATCAATCTCCGAATTTCCACAAGACTACAGAAATTATATGCTATCAAGTCCTTTTCTAACGMAGGACCAGGAGCAAATCTAACAAAATTGAAGGCGTTGATCATTTGCTTCTCTAATTATACACTATGCACGTATAACTTGTGCGGAAATTGCTTAATTGTGAAGTGAATACAAGGAAAGGAACTTCAGTTAAATTCAGGACAATATATTTATGGGTAATTCACATTACAATCGTGCGTTTTAGATTTTAATTTCATTGTATGCACGAAATGAAAAGCGAAAACAGGAAGGAAGGGAACGGCGACGCTTTTTTTGGAAATTAAGTGGCGGATAAAAATAAATAAATAAATAAAAAGACTGTTCGAAAATTATTAAGTTTCTCCCTTACATAATTTAATACATACCTTTTTTACATTATTAAAACCTCCCTTAACCAAACCATAAAAAAACGAAACGTTCAGATTTATATACAATAGATGATCCCTGTGATCTGATTAACTGAAAATCCACCTGCGCTTTTCTAAGATTATCTGGTTCTACATCAGTCTTGTTGCCTGTGCACAAATTAGTAATTCCTCTAGTTAAGGTGTTTATGACCTTGTATGTCTCCTACGAGCAGAGGGACTTATTTTTCCCTGAAAACATAGATTTATATTACAKTATTTCCTCTCRTTCGGCGCGCGATTATAGTAAGMGCGTGAGTCACCGAGCGTATCATGAAAACAAGTTTGTGGTATCCCGTTGAAAATCGTTAATACAGAAAATGAAATATTCTTGAAAAACTTGAAAACCTATGTTACTTTTTTTAGGTAAATTCTTTAAATTGCATATATTAAATAGTGGATCACTARATACATGACTATGTTATACACGATGTACTAACATTCCATCCATGCATTGATCGCGTGAAACAATACTCAGTGTTCGTTATTAATTGAGCGCAATGATCCTTTAAAGCTGGCTCTACCCATAATCCTGTGAGGCCCGCCACTATGACTCCACCTTGCACRGCAGTCGTCAAAAAGGCGCGCGAAAATTCCTTGTACCGTGGGCTCATGTTTCTTCCCGCCATTGCAAAGGAATTCAAATAAAGAGCACCTTCCGCTGACCCGGTAACAAAGGTCAGCATCATAACAACTACGTAACTAGGGAGAAATCGATATAAGCTCGCAAGAATGAGGAAGAAGACGTCAACCATTAGTACAGCTGTGAAAATCCACGTCTTGTGYGTGATTACAGTCCAGTCAGGCTTGCCCCAAGACAGAATCAGTCCATAAGACCGACCTAGTAACTCTCCTATCCAAAATGATATCGTATAGTACTGGTAATGATCTCTTGGGTCAAATGGWGAGTCTTCAAATGCAATGGTAGTTACCACACCTTGCATGGTTAGATAATCAGCGAACAGACCAAAGAACAATGGTACAGCAAGATGCATGTTGGCTTTTGCAGCGTTTATTTTCTCTTCTCTTGATAGTTTTTGGTGGTGGATATCTGCGGTTTGGTCTTCACCTATTCGCATGTACTCCACAGTGCTGCCATCTTGTTCTGAGCTCCTGGAATGGGTCGTATGCTTGGCCACATACCACGAAATGGCGGGAAATAGAGGTAAAAAGAACAGCAAGAGAAGTAGCACTGTGCTAGGATGGACGCAGACGAACGTGGTCATGACTGAAAACAAAAAGATACAATAACTCAATGATCATATAATTATCTATGAAATACCTATATTTCTCCATTTCGTAAAATTGAAGCACAATCGAAGAAAAAAAGTATTTTACGACATAATTTGCTTTCATATGTAATTATGTCATAAACAGAATAATTACATGGTCGCTTGGAGAAATCTCTTTTCAACTCTCGAAGATAAAATCCGTATCACCGCGCSCCCATGTAATATCCTCTATATTTTACCCGATTAATATTTATACCCACCTAACTCCAAAAATACCTCATAGATCGATAGAAATAGAGCATTTTTACTTAAATTATAAAAGAGAATGATTTATAAAAAGACAAAAGAAAGTATTCGGCCTGATTAATTCTATAGTATAGTGAATGACTCATAATTTCTGCAATTAGCGTATGATGATACCACGCCTTTTAAAAGATAATCTCATTTCAAGGAACAATTTTTGACTTGAAAAGCCAGCACCCTTKATAAATATGACATAAATACTGATTTTCTGTTCAGTTCGACATTATCAAAGTGTTTATGCCTATCAATTCTGTTTTTTTTCTTTGCGTTTTATCAAAGAATACAATAGCAAATAACTCAATAGCACTTCACATAATAATGTTTTTCATTTGAAAAAGAATATGTCTGTTTAAAAGTACTAAACAACATCTCATGAGCCAATACAGGATAATTTCCAAAACAACGGCGTCTAATCTTGACAATGATTTCAAAGAATATGTTCCATAATACTGCCTAATTACACAGTTGAAACTGTTCAATATTACATACTTGTGTATAATGCAGGACCAAGAATAGCTCCAAGCCCTGTTCCCGTAGCAAAGGCATGCATAGTTAAATCTTGATGCAAAGAYGTCGCGGAGAGAAATCCAATTTCTGCCGTGCCCAACCCAAGCGAGGCGACTAGAATACCAATCAACCTAAGCCCTGGTGTAGTAATCAACGCTATAAGAACTAAAGCAATAGCGAACAACATGGAGGAAACTATCGCTTTTGTGATAAGTGGAACTTTGTCAACATAGTATGGCATAACCAATGTCATGATGAAGTATGGTGTATTGAGGCATATGATGGTAGATGAGGTTGGGATATGCGTTGAAGCAAGGATATCCTCCGCGGAAGTGATGATGGTAGTGTACAGTATATAGGTGACGACGGCTAGAGACAGAAATCCTACAATTTCGATGAAGGTTTTCCTATTTTCTGCCTGGCTTGAATCTTCATTTCCATCGTCGTTTGTCTCTATACCAGTGCTATTTGGCGTTGTTGATTTCTCCGCTACTTCCTCATTGTCCTCATTGAGTAATTCGTCCATATTTTTCTACAATTCTCTTGATCCTAGAACTGACTTGCGATCCTCAGAGATTCCTTGCATCTAGACAACTGCCAAGAATATATATATATAAAAATACTTTGAATAATGAATTAGGTTTCTCTGTATCCCACCTAGATATTTGCATACGGAATTCCCTCACATCTCAYTGGCTCAAACAAACATACATTTATCGCAAATCCAGCTGCCCACATTTAAGACAAAAGATCTAATGTCAATCCTGTACATCTCTAAGGCTTAAAACAACAATTCTGTCATCTATGAAATAAAACGGCATCTTTAGATCACACAAGTTTCATTGGATTGTAGTGTTTTTTTCCCGAAATGAATATTGAAAAGGGTAATCTACAAAAAATATCAGAAAATTACGATCACGCAATTTTAATAAAGCATTATTTGAAAGATGCTTTTCTGCCGATAAATTGAATTATCAATGCCGACAAAAGAAGCGAAAAACGAGAAAACCATAATCATGTTAATTCTCATCAAAGAAAACTTTCAAAATTAACTGTATTTCGACTTCAGCGAATCACGATGAAAAATTAGCATAAATGTTTGAATCTCTACTTACTCTTCATGGATTTCATGCTGGTTTTCTGATTTCATAAACCAGGAGATTGGTTTTTGGTGACTGGACGGCGTCACAGACAAAGTGATGACATCACAAATCATATTGCCGGCGCGCGGTCGCACTGTGCCTAACGCGGAGTTGGTCTAAACTACGCTTTTAGTTTTGATAATGGCAGTCTTCCGTACTTAGCACTAAATGTTAAAAGCACGCACTGCAAGGTTTCGCCGACATTTTATTTCTTCTTCCGTCAGAATGACGTACATTGAATTTAAACTGAATTATACAATAATACACCGACCTTCTCTATTATTACTAAGACACACCTCATGTAAGTTATTCAAAAATGAAGTCTAGTAGTCAACGATGGAAAAAAACCTCGATTTAACTTTAAACTGACTTGTACAAGTCCTTGGTTTATCGTTATAGACCGACCACACCCAACWATATAGGCTTTGAGAGGTTCATTGAGGAGTAGATATTCAATGATCGACTAGGGTATAATCGGTCTATAAAGCTACGTGCCCTGACTTTCATACAAATGAAAATCTTGGGACGCAGTTATGGATTTCGACGGAAGACCTCGCATTCGCTTTCTTACTTATTACATATATAAATAAATATTATTTGCTCRCTTCGATATTTTTTTCTAATGCTTTGCAGTTCGTATTATATATTGTTCATGTTTTTAATTGTTCCATGCTTTAATTCTTCTTCTTCTTTTTTATTAAGTTGACGGATTAACAGATAAACATGACGTTCATTTGAGCGTACTTCCAAGAGCACCCCTGGTTAGATCAACTTCAATTGGGAAAACATTGGCATCTTTCAACACTGAGTACGAATCGTTATGGTATGATGACACTGCTGAGACGAAACGTTGAAGCTGAACAACAATATCTTGTACTGTACATAGAGAAAAATGAATTTCGTTAGAATGGAAATTAAGTATGCAGGGAAATACAAATAGTAAATACATTAAGACATTCTCAAGTTAATTCTCATGTAGACATGTTCTTTATCTCACCATGTTTTTGGTCCAGCAATTCTAATTTAATAAGAACATCTTGTCTGAGCTTGGCAAATCTCTCTCTTGCAAGTTGTCGACATCGAAGTACAACTCTGTGATATAAAAAATATAACATGTAATTATTTAGCCATAATCATGGATAATTTAAATCGTTTTGGGAAATCATATTATTAACGGCACATGCATCTGCATGTAAGGACTCTCATTAAACTGCTTTTTACAAAAAAAAAAACTAAATCTTTCTTCTTGATGTTAAAAAGGTAGCAATATAAGAAAGTCCCYGTGATACAAAGTGTAATAGCAAATGTGGAATAAAGTGAAAAGTGAAATGGCAAAGGAAAAACATGCACAATAAATAACAATAAAGTATTATTCCTTACGGTACCTGTAATCATAGTTTCCTGTTTCCACTCGATAAAGAGATTCATGAAGAGCCTTTTGAACAAGAAAACCACAGTAAACAACACGAATGATAAATAAAAGCAATTTACTCTTGTTGAACTTACTGCATATGCATATTCTTCATCATCCATTTCCTTAACCTTCAAGCAATATGACTGAAAAATAAGAAATAAAGTCCTCATGTAACCTGTGAATAGCCATTCCCTAACCCTCTCCCCTGTGGAGAAGACATCTCTTCAAACTTCCCAACAGGGCGAGGGGTGGATAGCACTTTATTTAATACAATCAACTTACTAAATATTCAAACTTGGCRTCTGCATACTTTCTTATAGTTAGTCTTGTGTCAGGAATTGCCTAAAATACACACATTTTTAGCATATCTAAATGTGATATTTTGGTCCGTTCAAAGATGAGGTCTATTCTCTCCGTCCAGGGTGAATATAAGTATGTTGGCTGTCTAAGCTTCATACCTTGCAAAGATATGTATTTAGATCAGTGAGCATTGGTTTGACTTTCTTGAGAAAATCCATGCCTAATTTTTCAAAGTTCCTTTAAAAATAAGTAAATATAGTTAGTGTTACACAGCTTGGAATAGTCAATTTATAGCAATGACATGAAGGACAACCATTGTAATACTGCTGGATTAAAACAGAGGGCTCGCATTTGGACATCAATAAAAAGGAGTTAGTCTCTCTCAATTAAGAGACTTTAGGTCAAACAGGTCAAAAAGGATAGCGCTTGGAGGATAAATTATGTGAAAATTAAGAAATACCTGTGTGCCTCACTAAAGATTGCAAATGCTTCACTGGCATTAGGTTGCAGTTCCCGTACTCCAACAGATGCAAAAATGTCTCCAAGCTCTAAAATAAGCATCAAAAARCAAGTGTTAATRTTTATAAATGAAGACTGTGTTAATGTTRTCTGWGAMAAAAARTAAAACATGAGTAGTTCAGAGGAAGTGAGWGTTTCTTTTTACCTTTGTGGGTTTGCGCTAGTTGCCAGAAACTATGAAGATACTGTCKGACATGGTCTACTAAACCTTTGTAAATATTTGAATTCTGTTCTAGTTCTTCAAGCTTTTTCACAAGTCCATCTGAAAAGAAATTCRTGAAYTATTYCAGAAGAATGAAGTATGACTGGATATGAAGGTACTGTAACTACTATTTTGATTGGAGATTGTTTTGGTTTTGACTTTYTTTCTTCTTACCATTGCARAGGATTGCTCGGCTTAGTCCCAATGCATCMGCAGTTGAGGAGCTCATGTTTTCAACCATGCGATGTTTCATTTTTTTCATGACTAGAAATTCATTCCAAGATATAAACAACAAATTGACAGTATAAAATATAAAAAAAAAATATATATGGCAAAGTTTATAGAGCAAACGCAGGAAGACCATGAAATAAAAACAAACTAAATACTAACAAATAGCATATTTAGAGACAATTTGTCAGTRTCAATGAACCAGAACGCAATCAAGATGAATTAGAAATATGGTCTCATGTAGATTCATCTTGATTGTGTTCTRGTTCATTGATACTGACAAATTGTCTCTAAATAGCCGCTATTTGTTAGTATTTAGTTTGATTTTATTTCATGGCTTTCCTGTGTTTGCAACAAAAGACCTCTACAGAAATATAATAAAAATAACAAAAATTACCAATATCCAATGATTTCCCTTCTTTTGGATCAGCATGCAGTTTCACATAATTGATTGTCACTTCTTCCTAAAAACATGACAACAATCATTGAAAAATAAGATGCATTGTAGATATAACAAAACAAACATTACATATAGCAAAATTAAACTTAGCTCRGAGAGAAAAATGACAAACCAATTTCAAAACTATTGTACTATACTGCCTAGATTTTTCAGATGCGTAGCTATTCTGTCATTATGTTTTAAAAACATTAATTGTCGCCGTACATTTTTTTTAAAGATAAGWCTATGTTGGCTGTTAAACAATAAATAAAACACAGCAAAACAAAAAATTCTATTATATTTCAGATTCATTGATATAAGCTTACTAAGCTTTACTCTTGTAAGTGATCTATTTGATCTTGTTTTCTCATGAATAATTCATGACGTCATAAGTCTCTGCTTACACAATGAAATGCATATTTTCAGATTCCATAGCTATCCACTAGTCTCAACATTAAATGATCAATTTTASACACGATTTCTTGAGATTCCCTAAAAAGATTAATGCCATTCGTTTTACTCAAACTCACTTTGACTGCTTGTATCGCTCTGGCCACGTCGACTTTCGTTTTTCCTCTGAGAGATTTGCCGTTTACCCCAACAATTTCGTCTCCTGCTTGTAAAGTACTATCTTTAGATGCCGGCGTGTTATCGAAGACTTGAACCACGTACARACAAGGACATAGTGGCGCTCCACCGCCAATGCTTATGCCAATCAGATTCTGTTTGTCTTTCTTCAGTGTCACGGAGCCGGGTTTGCCTTGAAGACCCCTTCACCAAAATAGCGATAGATTAACATAAAACACTCAAAAATCTTCACAAACGTCTAAGAATATATTAATGYATATTCATATTTACCTGGGGTCAATCTCGTACTCATATTCCATCATTTTGGACTACAATTTTAGTATTTTTTCCACAGACTTCTCAAAACATAATAATTTTATACATTCATTCCCATAGATCAATTCGCGCTAAGTAAGTACGTCCGCGGTTTCAGTTGTCAGCGGTAMAATGGTTCCCAGGCTTTTCCTCGGTTGTTGTCCAGACAACACTGAAAACATCGTAGTAGTTGAGRCTTTTGCTAAATTTTAGATGGAAAAATTTGTATTTTTACTATAGATTTTTAACATGAGTCGTCTCTAYGATACCATTGAGCCTTCGGTGATCGATGAGCTTATGCTCAAGCAGGCAGTTGAAGAGCAAGGRCCRAGAGGAGAAGCAGGAAGAATAGCAAAATCAGAAGGGATTGATTTTGGTGACGTGCTTTCTTTRCGACTTGACTTTAAAAGTATGAAATAACTTCYCWCKGAAWTGGAGAATGTTTTGTTTGCAAGGCATGTATCTGTGTAGAGTGGATGTAGTTATGAATGCAAGCATTTCCTTTTTAGATATACTGAAAATTGACAATCTTTGGAGCTTTGTCAACTTGACAACCTTACAACTGGACAACAACATCATTGAAAGGATTGAAGGATTAGATTTGCTTGTAAACCTTGAATGGCTAGGTAAGAAACATGTTGATGCACCGATCTACATCATTCAAATCAGTTTCCTCAGAATTTTATTTTCTATTTTTTTTTTAGATCTCTCCTTCAACAATATTGAGGTTTTAGAGGGCCTGGACAAACTGACAAAATTAAAAGATTTAACCTTGTACAATAACAGAATATCAAAGATTGAGAATATGGACAATATAACTGACTTACATGTGTTTTCTCTCGGCAACAACAATCTCAAACAACTAGATAACGTGAGTAATTCTTAAATCATAGAGAAAAAATCAGCAGCACCCCCCCCCCCCCCCCCCACTGGTCTTGTGTCCCTAAAGGCTGATTTACACAGTACGATTTGTCGCRCGCGACTTKTAGTATACAATTTTCSTACTACAAGTCGTAGGATTTTAAGCTGTGGTTCAAAATCCTACTACAAGTCGTAGGTTGCGTACGACTGTTGTAGACAAGTCGTAAGGGCATTTACACTGCACGATTCAAGTCGTATACTACAAATTGCACGAGACAATCGTGCCATGTAAATCAGCCTTAATGATGATGATTAAAATGATAATGATGAAAAATTATCATATTAATTAATTTTTCACATTAAATGTGTTTATTTATATTTTTATCTTCAAGGTCCTTTATCTCAGACGTTTCAAAAATCTACGTACACTGAATCTAAGTTCAAACCCATTCTGCGAAGATGTCAGTTACAAAGAGTATGTGATTGCRCATCTGCCAAACCTAGTATATTTAGACTTTAGACTTGTAGACAGTACTGCCAGAGAGGTTGCAATGGAAAAGTATAAATACTCAATTGAAGAGCTTGTACATGATGAGACGGTGGCTTTAAAGAAACAAGAAGAAATTGAGGCTAAGGAAAAAGAAAGACAGATGCATAAGGTATATGATTGATAAGATATTATGAATAATTAWTTCATTAATGTGCTCTTAAGGCATCATCATTTTACCACTGACATTCACAAATTATCTTAGCCTCTTTGCCTTAGTTTAGACCATTTCTATGTCATTTCTTGGTAAATATTGCTTATTTATTATTTTCAATCAATTCAGCACAAATAGTATGTTAATTATCAACCATTATTGTTGCAGGAAGCCTTTGTGGAGGATTTAGATTCTTCCAATTTGTTTGATTCGATGTATGCYGAAGACCCTGATGGATCTACACTGGCAACTCTTCCTGGCATGGAGGAAGCAATCACTAGATATCTTTTTTTCAAATTATTTTGGAACAGATTAATTGTATCATGCCAAATTTACTTGCATACTTGTTGCTTCATATTTCACAAGTTTCATTGTTTTAAATATTGCCATTATATCATTTTTCTTTATTTTGTTTAAGTGGTTTATATTATTTCTTKTTTCCACTGTTGCTGTGAGATGTTTCCTTAACATTTCTTACCTTCAAAGAACGYTTCATGGCTATTTGTAAAGACATTTTTGATTTTGGGCTGAAAGAGAGCACAAAACGAAAAGAAGAAATCRCCTCTTTCTTCTCCTGTATGGACGACGCTCTGACAGAAAACAAAAGAGATGGTGTTGCTTATATACARGAGTATATTGACTTTAAAAAGAAGGTAAATTCACTTTCAGGAGCAGCAGGAGGAAGCCAGGACATTTATAGAGCCTACGGCAGGCCACTAGAGGCCATGAGTGTAGGGTCTGGGTACGAGAATGTTATAACTCAATCTATGCTATCTTTGTTTTTAGGCACTGATTGACTATTCAAATACAAGTGATGTCAGTCTTCTTGAAGTCATGATGAAAGAAATTGTGGAAAAAATTACCAAGTTGTGGGACTCACTAATGGGACTTGARATGCAGTTAGTGGATCAGTTAGAGGTTAGTAGAGATACCTATGATATTCACAGCATCACTGAATTTAGCATGAGGCTGAGAAATTTGAGAATATGTGAGCCAAGGGTGATGATGCAGTAGGAGGGCTCTCTAAAGAGGTTACCACAAACTTTGCAAGACTACTGAGAGAATTGAACCTCTCTCCCTTAATGTAACTGTATGTACATTAGAGMGGATTTCATATGAGTGGGACACCGTTACCGCACGGTTACCGCACAGTTACTGGACCTGGCCTGCACAATTTTGGTGAACCGTCCGTTTCCCACTCATACGAAATCCGCTCTACCACAGCCTCATGTCAAACTGTCCTCAATCTAATTAATGAATCAATGTAGAATGCACAAATTGCAGGGATTTTCTTGTTTTGCCAGTTCAATCCTGGCCAAGGATTAATTTGACAAAACTAGAAATAAGACGTCTTGTCAAATGGGACTTTTTGATGGAAGAGGTTGTTACTTCCATGGATCAATGGATGTTAATAAGCATTAATATTATCTTCACATAGGATACCATTAAGGATTTTGAGAGGAACATGTCAGATATGGTGACCTCATTTGTGGAAAATGTGCAAGGATTATATCCTTTTAGTACTGTTTGTGCAAAATTCATAACCGTTTTTCAACTTTCCTTTACATTTGAACCAAAAAACTTTAAATATCCTTTGGTTAATTGCCAATGAAATTCACAGTATACTCAATAACTACTACTATACTACAAACAAGCAAAGTTGATCCTTGACTACTTAMCACAACGACACAACTTCGCGAATTAGAAAATATGCACAACGAGAAAGTGTCTGATATCTGTGTTGTTACTTTGGAAAAACTATTGAAAAACGAACTTGAAGAAGACATATCAGATGATTTGAGACTGGTATGTATTGTCATCACTTATAGTTACACTGAAGGCTTTTTTTTAACTCAAGAGATGCAAAATATGAATAGTTGGATATTTTTATTCGTTTCCAGCTGTTTGTTGACAAGGATACTATTATGAAYGCAGTCAGTGCCTCTCATGACACTCACTTGCTCAAGATTGACAACAAGGTGAGACGCTAATGTTTAATTGAGCTTAATTACCTCTCTCAAACGTGTGAATTAGTATTCCCCGGTAGGGCGTGTAATCAGGAAATCCTCTTCAAACGTGTGATCAGGGAATCCCCTCGAAGAAAATCCTCGTGAATTTGAATCGGGAAATCCGTAAAACCTGAATTGGGATTCCTCTTAGAACTTGCGATTTGGAGATCGTAGTAGAGCTCAGGAATCCCCTTCAGACACGCTATGTTGGAATATCCGGGGTAACTGCGTGACACTATATCCTACGAAGGCATAAATCACGTTTTTCTTTCAACTCTTACCATTTTTTCTCCAGGAGGATGATATGGTAACCCGAGCTAATACAACGATCCAGACCTTACTGGAAAACATCCATAATGATGAAGTTAAGCGAAATCGAGACCGCGTCTCAGAGATCAATAACTTAATCGATCACTTCAGGGACGAGGCAGACAGTTACGAGATGAATGCACCGATTTAGCATGGATCATGTAGAATCTTTTTTGAGGGTATTTTTCATGAGGCAGTTTACAATATAATTGATTAGTTGTTATCCTAGCGAATGCCAATGATTTAGATTTAAGTAACTTGTATAATATGGGCAATGTATATAGTGCTCTTACTTTAGTAAGAATAGTTTTGATGTAAATAAATCTCACTTAACGTTTTTTTTAACTCATCAATAAATTATCCCCCAGATAAAAGATTATCGCTGTTATCGCGTCGCGACAAAATAGAACGCCCTTCRTTGACTCATGACATCCAGGCCGGTTAATTCTCTGAACTCCTATATGGATTTTTGCACAGTCAGGGACGTGTCTTT